CTTGTTTCAGGAGTACCGTTTTCCAGAAAATTCAACATTCAGTTTATTTCACCTCCTCTAAAACACAAGTTTCAGACAAAGATAAAAAAGTACCTGCAATGTACTGCAGGTTCTTTTACCCGATACTTTTATTGTTTATTAAGTCCTCCTATTGCATCAAATGGATTTCATTAAAAACAAATGCTTTTAAGATGAAGTCCCAAGCTGCCACTAAGATGCTACAAAATAGCCAATAATCTAAAAGAGTAATGTCCAGTCCCTGCATTTTCCACAGGCCACTGTCTCTCTGCAAATAGTATGTTCAAGGATCAGGAAGTTTTAACAGGAGGAAATATTAACCTCAAATGAGCAAACAGTTCAAGCAATGTACTGAATTCCAAGATGGCTCCACATGTTTGCATAGCATAGCACCCAAATTAATAAATTCAGGATACCTGAGAACACAAATAGCATCTGAAAAGTCTGCTGGATATCTCAAGTCCCACAGTGCAGGCCCAAGTACAAGCTAACTAGACATGATGGATGCAGACTGCATAGAACTATCTATGGATATACGCACTATTCCAAGTTTCAGGAAAGGGAATGAGAGTCTCTCCATATCTCTGCGGTCCAACCTAAGCTAACTCCATCAGCCACTACCTAGCTTTCCCTGCTTTAAAATCATTCAAGATTTTATTTCATCAATTTATATTTTATTTCAACTTAACTGAGAAGGGAAGAATTTTCATTCACCTTGCTATACAAAAAAAAAGATACACTGAATTAAGATGCATGACAAAAAACTGCTTTCTGCCACTTGCTTAAGTAAAATAAGCCTAGTGCCATCAGAGCACAAAACTCATTTGCTATTTGCTGGACCTCCAACCTCAAAGCATGTTCTGTCTTTGAGAAGCTTAAGGAATTTTTTTTTGTTTTTTTATCTGAAAATCTCCAATTAGATAAGTTATTTCACCCAAGTCATCTCCAGGCAGTATGTAACTGTTTAACAATCAGTACTTCATAAAAGTTGATGCACTCTTGTAATAAATTTATTAAAAGAATCTATAATTGCAAATGATTCTATTTTTAACTGCCAAAAAAAACAGAATTAAAAGCGTAAAACACAAAAAGTTTGGTATAGCTTTTTAAAATATAACAATATGATTTAGATCAGAATTCTACTCAAAGAATGCATATGATGAAATCCTATTGCATTCTGATTAAACTTATTTAGGTCATATTGTGTTCCTGCCATTTTCTGTTTCATCGTTTTGTTCTAATACAAGAAAAAGGAGGTTCAAACCTTTCGTCTCCCATTTATTTTATCTTTAGGTCCAACTGGATTTCAGTCTAAAACAGAGATATAGACAATAAAATATCTTAAGATCAGGAATTTTCTTTTAGATAATACACACTATATTTTAAGTATTCTTAGAAAAAGACTATAGTTTAGTGTGCCTGGATCACCAACAAGTTATCAATATTCTTTCTCTGATTAGGAACCCGGACAGAAGGAACTACACAGAAATGAACTAACAACCAAAATAGTTTTTGTTTAAGTGCCAGATAGCTTCCTTTTAAATAACCAACATGACAAACGCAAATGCAGTTATGCATGCTGGACCTCGGACCATTTGGAAAATATCACTGTACAGAAGTAACAATGTTCACAGTATTTCAAGTGCTCCCACCACTTCCCTCCTGTCTCAACAGCAAGCAGCCATTATGGGGAAAAAAAAAAAAAAAAAGCAAAGACCTAATACTTTTCTAAATAGTATTATAAAAGTTTCTTAAAGGCTTTAAATTGATGGTCCACATAACGTTTACAAAAGAAAAATGCATTTGCACAGTTTTGTCCATTACCTTATTATATAGGGACCACTCTGAACATTTACTTATTTCCCATCGTTTAAACATGAATACATGCATTTTTTAATTTTATATTTTGGAAGCTACCTTCTGCTATTATAGTGACCACCAAGAGCTCATGAACCAGAGGCTGATTAAAACTCGTGCAGAGATTAATTTTCATGACTCCAGTAGTCTTTCTATTTTGTTTCTATAAAAATGTAAAACATAGATATGCTCTATGGGTTTTTTTGTTTTTTTTTTTCTGTTTTTGGTTTGTTTTTTTTTTTTAAAGTAGAACATTAAAACTTTACAATATGGAAGTACTAAGACAGTGTCTCACATGAAAATCAAGTATTTTGCCCAGAAATTTGAGGAATATCCTAAAATCTCAGTAAGGATCACCAAAAAGCAATCTTACAATAGTTACCAATTTCATATCCTTTGCTATTAACAATTATGTGTATTACAACAGCGCGTAGGAAGATTAGTCAGGACCTCACTCTGCTTCCTAGTCAGCCAGGACGGGGAGAGAGTGTACAGCTTAAGTACACATGTACACGGGGTGGGGGAAAGATAGTAAAACAGATGAGGAATAAGAAAAGAAAATCATTACCTGCATGTGAGCAGTATCTTGAAGCAAAAGAAGCTTTTTAGCTGCATCTACCTATCATTTTTAAGAAATAAGTTAGGATCATTCCTTTCCTAATAGTACTATACATTCACTACATACCCAGGATCAGTTACCCCCACAGACAGGAAAACATAGCTCTGTCTTACTACTGAGCTATATACAAATATAAACACAACCAGGCAGCCCTAAGAAAACTTCTATTGTGACCAGAATTTGGCAGTCTGTCATCAGCAACAAAAGGAATTCTTTATGAGATCTTTAAACCTTGTCCAAATTCAACATTTCAGTACTTGGCCTTTTTAAGGACTTAATGGCTTTGTTCATGGATTTTTTTTCAAAAAAGATTAGGTAACGTTCTGTAATAAGGACAGAAGATAAATCCCTGCTAGCATCACTAGAACTATCCAAGTTGAATAGTTTTAGAGAGACTGTGGAATGAAAATCACTAACATTAATTAAACTCTACAACAACCTTCAGGAAAAAAATACAAACTTCTGCTTGGTAGAAAAAAATGCAGTAAAAAACATGCACTTAAAATACCATGAAGCTGGCAAGGAAAGAATGAACCATTTTCAACAGATACTGTATATTTAAGGAACTTCTGAAACATTCAGATACTACAGAGATGAGAGAACCAGGTGTATACCTGGACAAATACAAGAGAGTTACCTAAAAGGCCTGAACGAGTCTTCTCCTTTGGAGTGGGGGCCGAGGGGGGGAGCCATACAAAAAACAGACCACTGGAACCTAACTGAAATTACATTTTTTTCAACATGTTCCCCTTACAGCTTTACAGTGTATAACTACTAAATAAATCACAACAGTTCTATCTTTCTCAATCCCAATGAAAATGTTGTGTTCAAAACAACGTCTGAAAAGATGGAACACAAGTAATCTAATATTTAGGCACCCCAACTCATACTGACGTAAACTGTATTTTTTAACTGAGCGCATAACACCAAATTAGAAAGCTTAAGTAGTAGCTATGTGCGAACCTTTGCCCTTAATGAGAAAACCAGCTATTTTCTCAAGTGTTAGGGATCGCATGCTCAGTAAAACCAGTTGTGGCTTTCTTGGAAGAATGAGTATTGTAAAATGCTACAAATATCAGGTAGGGCAACCAGTACTTCAAACTTTAAATCTACCGTACTATTGCATTACAAACGATAAAATGAGACAACTATATCAAATCACTGAGCAAAAAAACAGAAGCATTACAAGTTAAGAGTCTAGGAAAAGATAGGTGAGGACCTACACATGTAGCAACTCTAATTCTATCTGGATCGCTAACTTACGCCATACAACACTGACAGTTCAAATACTGTACTTCCAGAATGCCAGCAATGCCTCTATTTCTCCTGTTACCCATTTGTTCACAATTAAATTCAACAAGACTACCACAGATGTATATTAAAAACGAATACATACACTCCGCAGCTTGCATCCCATGCTTTAAGCTATATAATTGTTCTGATATAATTAGGGTACATTGTTATAGCAAATCGGTTTTGAATCAATTTAGCATCACAATTTATGCTGACAAATTTTAATAAGTTCTGTTTGTGAAAATGTGAGTGAGAAACAAAAAAAACTAACACATTGTAATTATTTTGTGCAGGAAAAAAAAAGCAACAGTAACCAATAATATGCATACTTTCTTGTCATTAGAGGATTAGAACTAATAGGCCTTTTCCATCATCTTCCATCATTGACAAAATTTGAATCTCAATAAGCTTCCTAATAGCTTTATCATTAGTTTTATCACATCACTCAGTCAGCAAGTCCAGTCTGAGTTACTGTACCAGAAATGGTGTGTTTTTCTAAATTTATCATTCTACAAACCATTTATCAAGAATACTTATGCTCAGCTCCTTCTAAATGTACATTAATACTCTAAGTGAACAATTATTTCAACTGGAAAACACACATTTGCCTTTGAAGTGAACAATTAACCACTGATAACAGACTTGTTTCTGTTCAAGCCAGGCATGGGAAAAACATATACTTATGATAATGCATTAGACAGCGGAAGGCTTTAAAACCAGCTAGCATAGGTATTTCCTCCCTTGCGATGGCAGGATACCTTAATGATCAGTAGAACACACTGAAGTATGTTGTATATAGTTTACTTAAATCCATTCATTCGGTTATGAATAAAACATACATACAGATTCCTTTACTGAAGTTTTTTTCAAAGTTAAATTTTCAAATAATTTGAATACTGAATGGACCCTGCTTATAAGCCTCTTGTGACTAAGTTTGCAAAGGGAGACTGAGATACCGGAACACAGTACCCTTAAGAGAGCACTCTGTATAAAATCTGATGCTCTTCAAAAGTCAAAGCAAATTTTAAGAAGTTGCCGTGTAAATTGTTCATAATATGTACTGCAACATGCAGTTCTAGCTGAACAGATTCACTATTAAGAATAGAATTTTCTTGACACATAGGAGAAACTACATACTAAGAATGAAAATGATACCATTTACAATTCAGGATAAAATTACTCTAGCCCAGTATTAGTAATAACATTTCCAAAATCCTTTCAAGTGATTTTTATATTTTATTGTAATCAGATAACTGCATGTTTTACAGCATAGTCACATATTGTTATTTTGCTAGAGTCACAAACACATTGCCTTACATAATGATCTGCATCACTTCTGCTCTATGCTACAAAGCCTATGACTGAATACAAAAAAGTTTTACAAAAGAAACTGCTTTAAAGACTACAATAACAATAAAACCGTTTCCAGGTAACAGCTAAAATTATAAAGGCATACCACCGTATATTTTTTACTGGAATTTCTAAACAGTAAGGAATGAAGTAAGTTTTAATATCTGCGACGCTTGTTAGGTCCTTCAAAGTTGCCCCCTGGGTTTCCTCTACCAAAGCCACCAGGTCCACCACTCACGGCACCTACACCACTCATTGGCGGCTGAGGAGTTTCAGAGCCCGTTCTACTAACCAGAGGTGAACCCATCTGTGATGGACCTCCTTGAGGGAATCTCTCATTATGCTAGTATCAGTCCATTTGGAACATGCCAAATGTAAGTTACAACAAAAACCACAAGTGATGTTGTCATGAAGTTCAGCAGATAGTCCAGCAGAATCAGGATCACACATAGAGGGAAGAAAGGAGCAATTCAATTAGTTATTATTGAAAAGGAGCTGAAAATTAAAGACTGCTAATATTATGCTCCAACTTTGTAAAACAAATTAAAAATTTAAGAACAAGACCAACTCTGGTGTTGAATGTAACTTCATCCCTTCAGGTATATCTGAACACAAAGCAATACTTATTCTGTATGTAACAGAAGAGACAGCAAACAACAATTTTATACCTAAGTCCTCTTCTGCCTTACCTACCTACTACAATGCTTCCCCATTAACTGAATTGACACAGAAATACTGTCAAGTTAGAAAAAAAATTAATTTGTAGCTTTTGTCTTTCTGCAGACCACATGTCTATTTAATAGCAATATAACCTGAAAAATTAATTTTATCACTCATTATATTCATTTGAATTGGATTTTAAAAGTCCAGTTAAATATACCTAAAATGCCATACAAAAGGTTGACTACAGGTAATATGGACTGACATGCTTTATCTGCAGAACTTGGCTATTTAAGTTTTCAGGTTGTTATTTATCAAGGTACTTTTTTAAATTAAGTATAGTCAAATTATTAATTTTATCACTGCTTATATTCATCTCAATTGAATTTTAGAAGTCTAGTTAAATATTCCTAAAATGTCATACAAAAGGTTGACTATAGATAATACGGACGGAAATGCTTTATCTGCAGAAACTGGCTATTTAATAATTGGACTACACTTAGTTTAAAAAAATATCTTGGTAAATACCTAAAGCTTAACCTGAAATATCGATAAGAGATGAAAAATCCAGTTGTTCCACATTTCTGATTTTCCTTAGTTCTATGCCTGACATTAAATGTGCTTACATATACATTCGCTATAACAATTAAGACTCAAAACAGCATATATGCACTGGAGTAGTTATCGTTCAGCACTTTTGCAAGTGTTTATAAACAAAACCCCACATGATAAAGGCTAAAACATTACCTCAACATAACATCAGCTACTAAAGACACACATATAGTGCAGATAGGTCTTCAAGTAAGCCATCATTAAGCTGTTCAGAACAGCTATACTTTCAAAAGAAATTCCTTCTGTACAGAGATCTACATTAACTACCCAGGTATTCAGAGTTTAACAAGAACAGGAAAAACTACCACTTTATTTATATGCCTGAATCAGAGGAGAATTCTTCTGAAAGTATAATTCCAGAGCTCAACAGCTCTAAAGTCTGCTAATACATATATATATATATAAAAATATATATACATATAATATGTATTTTTTTAAAGCAGCATTTTATTCCATCTATATAGAAATAATTATATGCAATTTAGACCATGAGTGTTTAATATACATATCATTAAAATGTTAACATTGTCTAGAGAAATGTATTGTTTTAAAACAGATACTGCAGCAGCAGCATAAAGATCTACTATTGCCCCAAACTACCTTAAAAACTGCAGCACTGTGGACAGCTAAGAATTGTCCAGCTCATGCCAGCTTGCTAGCAACAGATATGAACAAATTTCAATAAATAGCTAATTACATACTCCTATAAATTTTCAGTTTAACATCTGGGCAAAGGACAACTATTTTCACCAAGGACCTCTCTCTCTCCCCCCCAAAAAGAAAACAGCAGTCAATAACTATCTACAATAAAGTATGAAAAAAGTAATTTTTCAAAATGTTAAATTCAAAGACACTTTGCATCTCAAAAGATAGCAGTGGCAGGACCATATTCTAATAGCAAAAATAAAAGTAACACTAAGAAGAAATGCAAGAGAATATCCAATATAAAAACAAAAAGAGAGAGAGAGAGAGAGAGAGAGAGAGAGAGAGAAAGAAAACTACATTTCTTCACTGACTATAACTCCTGTTGTCTATTTTCTCTCAACAGAAACAAAAATTTAGTTCAATAGCATTTTAGGAGAGTCCTCAAAGGATTTAACGGTATCTTTCCAAAAACAGCAAAAATACAAGAAGGGCATGCCTTTCTCTAGAGGCCTGCCCTCCTCAAATTCAAAACCTTGAAAGTGCAAAATGAAAAAAAGCATCTATTCAATTTGTCCTTCAGTGACACGCAGGAAGAAAATGCAAGTCGAATTATTTGTGGTCTTTTTGGACATGCTTATCACTCTATCCAGCCATTTGAAACGTCAGTACGTTTCCTGTGTTTCCATACCTGAAATGACTTTTTGTAGAAAAACAACAGTTTGAGATGTAAGATCCCATGTTCTTTCCTCATAACTATTCACACGAGAATGTTCCAGAGGGGACGTGAGAACATCAAAATAAAGTTCTCCAACCTTCAGTCTTGTAAAACTGCACCAGCAATTTTCCCTATTATTTCTTTTTCTAAGTAGGAAAAAAAACTTAACAAGAAATATCTTGGGGAGGAGAAGGGGCAGGTTCAGAAGTGACACAATGCAGTAACACAACAGTTTCTAGCAAAAAGCATCTCTGACAACAGTACTTCTTCCCCAGCCCCTTTGGGAGAAATGATTCAACTGATAAAACGAGCTGGTTCCTATGATGTGAGGTGAGATCCTCTCTTCTAACCGATAAAGACCAGATTCAGCATATATTTTGCACTCAACCAAAATCTCAGTTTCCTCCAAGGAACAAAGGATTTTACCAACACTTCATAATATGGGCCACTCAGTCACTGACTGATTCTGTTCTTTCTTCTTTTGAGAAGGGTATACAAAAGAAATGTAATCTATACAATGCTACAGTGGTTCCAGTAAAACTATAATGGAATCACCGTTTACACCACATACTCCTTTATATCACTCTATCACCAGAACATCTCAGATATCTATTACACAAGAATACTGAGAACATGTAAAAATCAGGTATTAAAAAATGACATAGTTGTTTCTCTACATAAGACATTACAGATAGGAAAAATGAATGGCTATGAGAATAGAGTGAAAATAGCTAGCGCTTTGACTGCAGACCAATAGCATATCTGCTCTTGATAAATAAGTTCCAAATGTCAACAGCATATTCCTACTTGCCCTTGACAACCAGGCAATATTGTTTTTCTTATGTTGATATAGCCATTATCCCTAACAGTTGTTGGCATACTTATTCTCTTAAGGGGTGTAATTACTGTCACAATCTCTACTGGTGTGTTCAATGCACAGCTAGAAAGAAAAAACATGAACACTAAAATCACTTTAAAAAATTGGTAGTTTACACAAAGATATCTTCACACTACACAGTTTCCAACATCCAACTGATCATCTGATTATTAGAAAAACAGGCTAATATACACAATTTAATTTCACAAAAGAGGAAAAAAAGTGAATACCTCAATTTACAGGTTACTCTGGTATATCGTTCTTTCTACATTTCACAGAAGTGATTTCCTTGCATCAGTAACAGTTTTTCACAACAAATAATACATACAAAATTTCACCAGAATCATTGTACCTTCCACTCTCAGTTTAAAGAGTCTGGTTACTGACCAAAGAACTCACCCCCCGTTCCTGAGGGGGTAGGATTTTCACAATTTTCTTCTAACATAAAACAAAGATTTCCCTTCTGTGTTGTAAACAATTTCCGTGAACAAGCAAGTCTTACCAATTACATTTAACAGACTCAAAATACACAACACACCCTTACTAAGTGTGAAAATATCTTTGGTAACAAACATGTGCCATGAAACATGACAGCTATTCAAAGTAATTAAATTTGTGATACGTTACCACTGCTCCATTATCTGGCATCATTGGTGTTCCCATATTTGCAGCTCCTTCTGGTCCCATGGAAGGACCAGGACCCATTGCAGGGCCAGGTAAAGTTCCTCTGTTGTTCATATTCATACCCATCATTGGAGGAGGGCCTTGGTTACCAGCAGGTGCTGGGCTAAACGCATCTATGCAAAACAATCTATACTTAGAGCTGTCCTATCTGAATTTTACAAGAATAAACAAACAATTTACAGCATTTAAAAAGCCAAATGTACAAGACTTCCAACACTTGAAATATGAAAAATTCTGTTCTTTGAGACTGTACATTTATCTCAATCATCTGCTTTTAAACAGATTCATTAACCCCTTTATTTTGCATTATATAATCTGCCTTCTCTATTTGAGAATCATGAATTTTGCAGCTAAATATAGCTCTATTGTTTTTTGCACAGGAATGTAAACATTCATCCAATAAATATATACTGTACACATCACAAATTAGAAAAAACTTGAGTTGAACTTGCAATAACTGATAGCTATAAAGGCAACCTGTCTCTTTCAAGACTATAACATCATATTAAGAACACATTTTCAAGAACTGTTCCTCCAATACTAATGTTAGGTGTATACTGTGTTACAGGATATTAGTCTAATGTCTAAAAGCAATAGCAAAGAGTGGCACTACTCAACTTTACATGATTTGTAACAGGGCAGAAAGAAATCTAGCATTTACATCTGATTTATTATAGTAAAAATATCAGAAGATTAAGGAAAGGTTTTGTATCATTGAAAATGGCATTTGAAAAAGGAACATAGCCTCCTCCAAAATTATGATTCACAGTAGGAGGTAAAAAAAAAATTCAAAAACATCCTTTGAAGAGATCATTTAGCTACAATATTTAACAGCGAAACATGTTTCTGCCAGGAAACATCACTCCGCCAGTACCCACTAATACACTCAACAGGTAAGTAAAATTGCACTTGTAATGCTTTATAATGTTGCCATAAAAGAAGAGATCTGATTATATAAATCATATTAATGTCTGCTATTGTAAGATTTCATCAACCTTAAGACTGGTGGTGATGCACTGTTTTTCCACATTGATAATCCATTCTATTCAAAGAAGAGTGTGCATCCAAAATTTGGTAACAGAAGAAAGTGTGCCTTTGGAAACTAGCCCATGTTTTAAGTCATGGCAACACCTGAGCCCAATCAAGAAATAACAGATACATTGCCAGACTAAAACTTATTCATCTTCTCCATTCCAAAAATCAACCCCTCATCATAACAACTTTTCCAGTAGCAAATATAAAAACAAGCATCATTGTAAGCAGGTCATTTAGCCCAAATACAGTTCTTTGACCATCTGCATGTATGCAAAAATCCATCTTTATAACCTGGACTGAGCACAAGTATCACAGCAGTCAGTGAATCACTACACCCAAGATATTGCTGCTAAAATTGGAGACTTTGGCCTGATCATCTACATTAGTGCCAAATGCAAGTTGTCTAGCAAAAATAATTCATGCAACCACAGTGGCATGCGTCAGGTGTTTCACAACTATATTAGAGATGGAAAAGCCCTATGGTTTTCAAAAAGCAAAACTCGTCCGAGTTTGGCCCCAAGATGCTTCTCCAAGACCTCTCCCTACACCACTGCGCCAGAGTTAAGGCCTTTGTATGCGCTTCTTACATACCCATAAGCCAGATTAGTTCATGGAGCAGGTAGAAGCAGGTTCTGCAATCCAAGAGAAAACTACTGCTGAGTATGCCATAGAACTAGTTTTTAGTGCCATCCATTTAAGGACTAAATATGGAAGGAAAGGAAGAGGAGTACAGAACTGCCAACATAAGCGACCTTTGTTTTCAGAGGCTAAAGATACCCAGCACGACTATCATGATGCCAGTGCTCAGTGCTGGTGCTGCAATTAACTAAAACCACTCCATGCTCTACTATCTATAGCATGCTTACCAGGGCACTAATTAAACTTGGCATAGCCCAAGCTGGCCACATGCAATTAATGTACAATTACCCTTTAACCATGACAAAGTTGCATGCTCTCTAAATACCCAAGTTGCACACGTCAAGGTCTGGCACAGCTGGTAATAAGCCACAGTCAATCCTCAAAGGAGAGAATTCCCATAAAGTCATTCTTCTCTACGTTACAGAAAGGCTTATTAGCTGGACCCAGCACTGCAGATCCAGTCAAAAGCTATCATGTGGCTCATGTATCCTTTCAGAACTTGCTTGCTGCAAACAACGTACAGGTGAGTGCTTTTGCACAAGTCAACTCTACACTACTTAAATGCAGCACAAAGGTGCGCCTTGCTTTCCAATAACCCTATCATGAAGATTCTTCAACTACTGAAGACAACCCAGTTCCCCACTGTCCCAGATAAAAGTTGCAAGTAGCACGTGTAAAGGCCAGTTAAAAATAAAGTTACAGTTCCAATAGCAATAGTAAGAGAGAAAGATACATTAGGGCAAACAATTAAAGGATTACTGTTTAAAGGTCTACTGTTACATCAGTGCTTTCTATTGGGCTTTAAAAAAAAAAAAAAAAAACTCTACAGCAAAGTAACCTAAAATTTGTATGCTGTGGAAAAAGCACATCTTTACCTACTTGCTATGATATTTTCCCCTTTTAAAAAGGCAATTAGCTGTTACTGTAAGTTCTTTTGGAATTGCACATTTATTTCTAAAAGCAGTCACTGTTAATAAGTTTAAACCAAAAAAGTCATATCTGAAGCCTTATAAAACAAGACTACAATGGACCTAAATATTAAGCATTAAAAACTAGTAAGAAAAGTGAAGGGCTGTGAACTGACTGCTATGCGTACACAGGCGTTTAGAAAGGTTTAAAATCCATATGCAAAAAGCGTATGTTGTAGATCTGGAAAATTAGCATTAGAAGTTTTCACAATATATTTTAAAAGTTTCCCAATTAAATGGAACTTTCAAGTAGAAGGCATGAAAACAATAGGCAAAAATAAAACTATAAAGTAAAAATTATCAGTCAAAATGTATGCTTCAGAATATCATTTCTAGATTATGTGACCTTCACAACGTCTTCCTTTAAAGTGATTTTTAAAGCTTTTAAAAATATTTTCCAAAAGAAAAATAATTCAGTTCTACACATTTGTAAATGTGTTGCTGTTGGTGAACGCATCAAAGCGAGTAAGGCATTCAAAACCTGGACAGAACAAATACATTAATGTATAAGTTAAGCCATAACATTTAATAAACTTTGTATATACGTTCAAATTTATAATACACAAGAATGATACTAACTTGTCTTAAGTCTGCAAGTTCTTTTGTAAGTATTAGGAAGCTTCCTAATGACTTATTTTGACAGCTAACACTGTTTAATAAGATTGTTTTTTAAGAAATATTCCACGTTTAGTTTTGTTTAAAAGCAGATATTCTGGTTAAACAAAAAAATACTAATTGTTTCAGTCTGAATATATGCAGCAAGTGCTAATTATTAAGAACGTACTTTTTGAGACTTTGCAGTAACAGTTTTTAGCAGTGACAATACGATAAATCACAAAAGTGAACTGAGAATAGTCACAAGTACAGACTTGCAATAAACTAAAATACCAATCCCGTTATTCATTAATCTTTTGTTGAGTATGTCAACAAAAACTGACCTATTTTAAGTTCTAAATCATTTCACTGCATGCAATTACAGTCTCGCTTCTTCTGATCAGGTAGCCCCCCAAAATAACCCTGAACACTTCTTAAACAAAAAGAAAGTAGTCTTCTATCAGATAAATTGAAGAGTATCCTCCTTCTTGCCTTTTTACTTCTAACTTGTGCATTTCTTCCTCCCATGTATACTAAAAATAAAATACAACGATACTCCCTGGGGGAAAAAAACAAACAAAAAGCTGTTTGGAAGCAAAATGGGTGAGATTTTGTATTTCCTAATACAAAACTCTTTATTCCTTTTAATCAGTACTTGTCACAGATGAATAGTACCCATGAGTAACATGTACAGTCCCAAAGAAACGAAATTTTAAATTACAGAAGCCTTTTTCCTTCAGATCCCTACCTCCCATGTTTATTGCTCCACGAGGACCCATATCACCCATTCTCATTTCCTGTTCTCTCTGAAAGTAAACATAGTTTTCATGGTCAACCTAGCATTCTCAGAACTTACACATTCCCATTTACTCCACGAAAATAAAAAGTTTTAAAAATTTTAAATGTTTAAAAATTTTAAATGTTTCCACTGATCACAAAACTGTATAAGGAATAAAGTTATATATATTCCCCTGGTTTTATAAAATGGAATGCAGTAGCAAGTTCAATGTTGTGCATTTTCGCACAATGCTAAAGGAAGATAATATCAATCACAAGTTCCATTTATCAGATGCAGCTGTCTAAAGTCTCCAAATAGTAATGTGATCAACTGCACATAAATCCACCTTCACTCAGTATTTTCATTAATAAAAAGCAGTATATTTACGTATTAAAGCATAAAGAAAGAGATCTTATTACCATGTTGCCTAATGGCCGTGGTTCAATAATACAGTCAATCTGGTTTTATGTCTCAAAAATGCTTCTGTTGATTACTATGGCATATGAACCCAATCTGACAGTTCAACTTTGTTCAAATAATTGTGACTGTTAACTCAGTGGTGGTACATTTTTTGATGAATCGCTTATACCATGCTATTGTTATGCCAGATCAGATATCGACCATCTTCTTGCAGCTAGCATAAAAATGCATTATGTAACATGCATGTAACCATGTAACATGCATTTATGCTAAACAGACAAATACAATGACATGCCAAACTGATCCAGATTCAACTGATTCTCAATCAGCCACCAGAAAAAAAAATTTCTGATGTCACTGATCGTGAACCACGCCCTGCAACGAAACAATACTCAAAACTAAAGGTAGTACCAGAGTGGCAAATATCACTTAGGGGAGAACAAAGTACACCTATCACAGAAAACTAAAATTCCAGATGATTTTAATATTGCTATTTACATCAAGAGTACGACAGAACAAATTTTACAGTTCAAAATGAAAAATGAATCAAATTTATACCAAAAATAAGTAACATTTTTCTTCATTAAAAATCTTCTGCAAGAAGGCCAAAGTATATTCCACCCTCAAGTGCACTCACATGCATCTTGACAATAACCATACATGAAAAGAAAAAAAATATTACCTGCTTTTCTGAAAATCATTCCACTTACGATTTAAGAGTATTAATTGAGATGCCCTTTGAAACAAATTCCGTTATCCTGAGCAACTGAATCAGTCTTGCAAAAAGCAAATTTTAAACTGAAATATTAATCACGTCAAAATGCATACATAGTATTTCTACAGTTTCAAAAAGGTCCTTTTTCATTCAGTCGTGTTTTGGATGACAAATCTGAGTCTTCTACCTTCGCACATTTAAAGCGGCAATCATCAGTATTTGACAGAAGAGAGTCAACAGTTTTGTAAAAATGTCCTGGTATAGGAAACTGTCATAACGTATATGAAAAAAGTTCTCGGGTCAATTGGTTTGTTTCTGGTAAATCATATTATCCCAGTAAATGTATTTAATATAAGAATAATGATTAAACACCATTTCGTATGAAATGCCATTTAATGAAGAGAAGAAAAGTTAGGCTCGTAACTAAAAGCCAGAGGCAGCTTTTAAGGTCCAGCTGCGAAAGCCAATTTATGAACGTTTTAAGGACCTCCTCTTCTGATCCTACAACCCACCTTAAACCTTCATAACCCACAGAACCATGCAACTTTGTCAAACCTTTCAGAGCAATGTCTACTAGCATTTAAGTAGTATCAGTAACCTCGTAAGGGGCAATCAGATCCACAAATTGATACCAGCTCGTCACAAAAATCAGTATACAACTTTGTTGATGTCAGTCTATTATACATCAGCCCTGACGTGAGGAGATTAGAAGGAAAAAATGTGGTATTTCATCTCTAATACCAATCCTTAGCCAAACGTGGTAGAACGATACCATGGCTATTTACATCCATCGTGTGGATGTGCAAGCGTTTGTGTGTGTATAAACAAATTACCTCAGAGAAGCCATAAACAGACATGGGATACTCTTTAGCTACAGCTGAACGTATCGGACTTTGAATTACTGCCCATAATCTAGTTTGGGACACTCCCAATTCTTGCAACACACAACACAAGAATTTAAGTATCTCGGATTCCACCGTACAGTACTTTACGTGAAGTGTGCTATACAAGGCACCGCCAAGTACGAAACCAGTTAGACAAGAATATTAAATACAGAGCTACAGAAGTAGCTAATTACTAGAATTTTAACTAGTTTTCTTTGTGAAGGACAGAAGCTTTAATACACCCTTAATTTCTCAGTTTGCCAGAAATGCTACAAGTCTTCAATTAACACTGAGTACAACAAATGGGAGGTAAAAGGGAAGTGAGCGGGATGGAGGGCTGCAGAATTTTTTTTTTTTTTGGCTAGTTTAATCTTTGTAACAAAAAAGCTCCAAGTAAGTATTTGCCACTTTGTATCTTTAACTTTGGGGTTGACTTATTACCATGTAAAAAACACTTGAGCTTTAGACTGAAGATCCACTGAAGTCACTTATGATCTCTGCCGTCTATTAATCTGTCAACACACCTACCGAAAACTATTACTCTGCTACAAATTGGAACAATAGGAAGAGGATCCTGATGAATTTTCGGCATGGGGAAGTTCTTCATCTATAAACTTAACAGTGAATTAACACATATAAGATAAATCCCCTATCAGAGGAAATACTCAGCTTCAAATGTCAACTGACAGCATGCATCATGAACGTAATTAAACACTTGACACAGTAACTGTAAAAATATATTTAGATAAGATCATTTACAGAATTTCGTATTCGAAGGAGCCCAGGTGGTGACAAAAACTCAGTCCTAACCCAGACAGATCATGACCTAGACGACTTTTTACTATGTGTGTATGAACAAGTTACTGCAGTTAAGTCCACCATTCTACGGCATGTCTAAAATATCAAAAAGAAGGGAATATCAATAAGCAGTTATGACGAAGCAGCCGAGTCACAGCTGGTTGATATTCTAGCCCACCTGAAAGCTCTGTTCTTTGATACTCAAACTCTTTGTAGAGCATAACAATGAGACATGGATCATCTCAGGGCTTCTTTTCTCACTAGCCCATTCTTCTTTTGAGTAGTGGCCTGCTTCAACCCTTCTCCTGAAGCCACCCATAAGTACTCATAACAAGGAGTTAAAACTGAGTAGCTAGAGAGAGGAGGGTTAAACTGTTACTAGAGAAATAGGTATGGAGGCAGTTAAGAACCTCTGAAGTCACACAGTATCTGGTAAAAGGACTCAAACTGGAAGAGAACAAGAAAAACGGATGATATACAATTACAGGGGGAAAAGTAGACCATGAAAGACAAAGGGTGTGTAGTAAAGTGTAATATAAACTTCAGGAAAATCCTAGAAAGGACAACGGGATCACAGGAAAGCAAACACTATTGTCAAAGGACAACTCTTCACACAATGCAAAACACAAATTTCCTGCGACTTCTTTTGCATGATTCTAATAAGAGACTTTAGAACTCAGTAATACCAACAAACCTCAAAACGGTTGTATTTACATGAATAATTTGCTTTTAGAAAATCTGACCGAAATGCAACTACGGCACTGTACTTGCTAGTTATTTTAGGTGCAGTATTAAAAATAAGTGAGATTTCCTCACATTCTCAATTCCTTTTAATGTCAACGGTAGAAACTAGATCTGCATGGAAATATTGAGCATTCCCTGTTTTCAAATTACATATATATTCTATATTTAATATATCATAGATTCTGCCCTTCTACAAGCATTGTATATGAGATTTCTTGAGCATTCAGTATATACCATGCACAGCAATGCTCTTACATTTCAATCACCATTGATATCAATAGTCTAGGTAAACAGAAAACTGCTAGGATGATTCTTCTAATCTTTGAAAGATATCAGTACGTTCTTAAATCCACTTTCCATAACATCATGAAATTTATCAGTTTTGAAAAGGAACCTGGATGAGATACAGGAGAGCTTTCATCAGACGCCATTCCTCTCACATTGAAAATGAAAACAGAAGTAGTGACAAAACTGACCACCTCTTTTAACCGAGATTACTGACACTGTTTTGACGAACTGACATTACTTTTTTTCCTGGGAACATGCCTTGTAATTTAAGCAGTCTAAAGAAATTTAAAACCTTGTCTCCAAATAACACAGTTTTCATTGTAACAAAACTGTCAAAAGATTTATATGAAATGGAATATTTATCATTGGATAACTTAGCACATGAAAAAGATACCAACGGAAATATCTGTTGATATCAGAAGACAGATGATATAGTGCCCTTCAAGTGTCTGTGGCCAAGAAATGCAATTTCTGATTCATGTGAAATTAGCCACTCACCTTTCATCTAAAACATGGTGACCAAAATAAGATACAGCATCCAAAAAAACCTCATTAAAACATATTTCCCATATCAGCCATATTTGCACATCAAAAATCAGCAACTTCATAAATAAGTACACAGTTATCACAGTTGTGTTCACCACAAAATATTAACTCATACTACTGATTTTCTTACCTGTTCTCATTAGGTGGAATCTGAACTTGCTCTCTGGCAAACTTCACATTTGACAAAATAGGTAAGACATTTCTGTACCTCTTACTCGAATGTATTGTTTTCTTCTAAGTCTGGCTTACGTCATTAAGTTCTTCCAAGTAAGAAGAACTATTTCCAAACGTCTTTCCAGGAAGTAATTCTGGCATAGTTTTCTGCAATCATAAATTTTTCCCTTCCATCATGGACTGACAGAACAGAATGGCAACTATCAGCTACTGATTTACACAGAATTGTAGTTAACTGAAAGAGGGCTACATTTTAAAGACATAAATCAATGAAGCCATTAAAAATCACTCGCTGGGCACCCAAAAATAGAATATATGGGATATTTGTGAGTATATACTATGCATGTTTTCCTCAGAATTTCTACCAGTTCACTCCAATGACTAGCTCATTAAAAGTTAAGCTGCCAGTTAGGAGTTGAAGTAAAAAAGCCTTCTCCTTCCCCTTCTTACCTTTCACCT